TAGTAACAAAATAAAGAATTCCAGCTCAATGCCAAACTCTGCAAATGGCATTCCTATATTACTGTTCCAAGTTGGAAGTGATCACCGATGTATCACTGAAGTCACATCTAAATCCTTCTAGCGTGAGAAGTATATAAGCTAGTCTCATAGCTTCAACCTGTAATCCTGATCTTGCCAACACTTCATATCTCTGGAGTCTAACAAGTAGCTTTCAGCTCAATCCATTATTTGAGATACAATAGGGGAATCAGCTTAAAATAACTATAATATTCTTCCTCCTAATCTAAAAGCTTTAAAAACAAAACAAAAAAAAAACACTTTTATATATAACTAGCTAACTTGAGGCCCTCAAACCACAAATTGCTTATGGCATTCGGACTTTGTATTGACTTCTTAGAAAATGGCGAGGCTGCTCATGCTGGTCATGAAGACATTGGGGAAGTGTGATGGTGGGTGGTGGTGTTTTTTTAATTAAGTCAGCATCTTCAGACATTGAAAGGTCAATCTGACTTCTACTGAAGCTAACACAAGTTACTACAACTTTTGCCAATACCCAAGGTAGAGAGGAAGCATCAGTTAAGTTTTAATGATTGGCTCAAGTGACCCAATCAAGGAGCAAAGCCGAAGGTATTTAAGTATGCTGAAAATCCTACACCAAGACAAACCTGACAAAGCGACTGTATGCCTAACAGTTGGCAGATGGCATCCCAGGGCAAGCAAGCAGGCCTTTATTAAGCAGAGTCTAGATTTACATGCTTTACATGTGCTAAAATCCTCCATAACTACAATGTAAAATTCCTACCTACTTGTGAAATAAATGAGATTACAGCTAAGATAATTTTTTTAAAGACAAAGATAAATGCCAATATCAGATTACTCTGAACAAATACAAAAAGGTAAGTATGTAAAGGCCTGTCCCAACCCCTTTATCGATATTTTAGTCCCATCTTAGGAGAAGATCAAATATTTTAGAACACAATGATACCATCACTCCCTTAGCCCATCTCTGAGCTATCTCTGCCACTACTGCCCCAGGTCTTTGGTCTGCAGGGACATTCTGCTGCTCCTTCTACAGTTTGCTATTGTAACTCTGGTCTGACCTAACACCTCCTTGGCCTTTTGAACATTCACGCTTATTTAGAGAAGAATGTTCACCTTGAAAAAGGGATACTTTTTACCTTGAGTGAAACTCAAGGTGAAATTATAGCAAAAAACATGGCAGCAGCTTGTATTTTTCACACAAGGTAGGAGTCAAGCTGGAGAGACTTATCCAGTTAATTGCAATTTTTACAGAACTTGCTAAGCACCAGTGGAAGGAGTCCTACCAATGTGGGGAAGAACTGGACAGTTTAGCAACATAAAAACAAGACGTACAGCTAGAGTTGGAAGAATCAGGTTAAGTTACCCAGTCATTGTTCTGCCTTTACCCTACTGCATGCTTGAAGCGGGCTGAAATGTATTTGTAACGGAAACTGGAGGACAGGATCAAACTATTTTGATAGTGTTGCAGGAGGTAGAGCAATTCAGGACTGCAACAGCAGGGACTTCTTAAGATAAGAAATATAGTGGCCAAGGCAGCAGTGAGGCTGGAAATTTGCAGTGTAGCTTTTTGGGAGTGGCAAATACTACTCTGATGAAACAAGGGTAAACTACTCAATTCAATTAATTTGAAATATTGGTTATCTGATGCTGCAGGCAAAAAGATTCCAATTCCTCCACCTTCAGGTGGATGCTGTCAAGCAGATGATGTTAATATGAAACTGATGAAACAAGAATAGGAGCCACTAAGACAATTTATCAAAACCTTTTATGTTTATTGGCAGCATGTGGAAAGACTGCTACAGGTAACAGATGGAGAACACATTTCTGTCTCTCCCAACACCTATCAGCTCAATCCACATAAGCAACAAAGCATGAGACCCTCCAGTTTTCAGAACGATACAATTTTGTTGTGTATATGTCCATCTAAGTACGTGCCATGCCTGGCAAAAGGTACTATTCCCCTTCCCCTCCGCCCTCCAAGCCAAGGCAAGATCTTAACAATGACATGCTAAAAGGGTTGTTAAATTTGACACAGAATAGTTATGTCTAGACTCTCTGTCAGAGTTTTGTCCGCTCTAACTTGAAGCTTCCACCACAGAAGTCTCAACTTCAGCTACACAACCAGTGCTTTACCGGCCTAATTCTTCATTCTGAGTAAACATAATTTATGCTAAACAGACTCTATCTAGTCTTAACCCCACTAGACAGTGGGAAATTAATCATCGTCATCTTTAACCTTTACAAGTGGAAAACTCAAGTTCTGCTTTTTTACTTTTCCATCCTAAATGAAGAATTTTACTCTTGTTTTTATATAGTTTCATGTAGCTCGATTCTGGACCTTTAAAATATATTAAGTTCATTTTGATTTTTGGCTCTTTCAGTGTGTACACCTTATCCCACAGGCCATCATCTGTAAGTTTTATATACTTATTCCATTCTGCACAAGACAGGAATAGAAATATTGACCAGAACACATCTGAAGACAGACTTCTGTAAGACTAGACTTGAAGCGTACTTCCAGATTGAGTGGGAACACAGGTAACTACTCCAAGTTCCATGAAACACAAGGCAATTCTGTTTAGGCTGTATGTCTTCAGTTTGCTTTGAGAAAGCCTCCAAGACAGCACCCAAAACCTTACTGCAGCTAACATATACCAAATTAACCCTTTACCTCAAATACCTAGTGAATTATCTTTTAGAGAAACAAATAATTAGATTTACCACTGCTTTTTAAATAATTCAGGTTGTTTTTTGTCACTGTTATCTTCTACATGCTTGCACACCTACAGGTTGGTAGTTTGTTACAGTACCTTGCACTCTATGAAAGCAATGGTGGTGGTCTATTATTACTTAATATTATTCTTCCCTGCCACCTACCCTCCTTTAGAAAATCAGTGACATTTACCACAAAGCACTTTCGAACTTCCCCTCACCGCCACAAATTCTCATAGATTTTCAGAACTTCTGAAGCAGTTACAAATAGTTCAAACTGTGTCAGCTAGTTTCTGGAATACTTCAGAGCAAGTATCAGACTTTACCAGTAAAATATTCTTTTTCCATTACTGCCTGTGTTCCTCTAACTCTTCTGGAACTTAAGTCGTGTATCCTGTCACAATTAGCATTTGCTGGAAAGCAGGAATTGTTTTAGCCATTATTTGATCTCCTTCCCTGCGCAGTAAAGGACTTCTGCTTTCCTTTGTTATATCTTCTTCTGTTAAGAGTATCTTCTCATACTCTCAATGAATATTCTCTTTGCCTTCTAACCCTCTCTAGTTGTGAACAGATTTCTTCCTGACCCTTTCCTGTTTGTTATTGGTTTATATACTTACCCTCAGTTGTATAGATATGCTTCCTCTTACTGTTTGATTCCTTTTAGATCCTCAGGTCATTCACAACCTGTTGCAATTGTACTTGTTTCTTACCATGCTTCCTTTCCTTCCACTGCTATTTTCTCACGCAGTAGATCAGAAATGCCATTTCACCCAACCGTAACTGAACAAGCAAACGTGCTAAAACCTCCAATCTGTTTTATCTAGTACCACAACCCCAAACATTTCATTGTTTCTCCACTATACACACGAACACCTAGATGACTCTGAAGTCTGTGCATTTACCCAGTTCATCCCAGAGCTGCCTATACTTGTCAGTCATTGCAGTTCCTTGTTGTCTCCAAAGCGACAGACGAGGGTCAGCCATGAACTGTTCTGTTATCAATGTCAACATGCGAGCTCCATTTGAATCTCTCATCTTTAGCATCTCTCGCACCTAGAAAACGAGACTTTTAATAAAAACTTGGAAAAAAACCCACATAGTATAGACAATATGCTGCAGTGTTAAACATTCTACCTCTCTGCTAAATAAGAAGTACAATTAATAAAATTGAAGTTACTTTTTGAAGTAGAAGAAAAGTTAGTCTGTCTTCCCAATTTTAATAATGACTTCGGATTTCGGTATGCCACTGCAACTCTTCAAACACACCTCTTCCACACGTAATCCACAGGTATATTTTACAAGCTGCTGCAAGATTATCATACCGGTTTCGCTCACATTTTGGTGGGGAGGAAGAGAACGGCAAAGCTGAAGATGGTTGACGTGTTACTTCATGTCCTTAAACTGATCTCAAGACACATTAGATTGTGGTCCATTGCTGTAGAACAACTCATTAACTTGCCATCATGTTCCCAAGGCTTAGTCTTATTTAAGAACTACTGAACTTTGAGTAAGATGCTAACAAGTATAGACTGGCTAGAGGGGGGAGAAAGACAGAAAAAAAAGAGAAGGTTTAGAATACTCAACAAACCTTTGCAAAAAGCAAATTGAGCTGTTTCCCTGATCCATGGTATCCACCCTGGGAGAGGAAGAGTTTAACCTGTTCTTGGACCTGTTCCTCATCCAAATGCCAGCAGTTTTCATCATCTATGCTAGCACCTGCTGTTGGATCAGGAGCACCTGCAAACAGCAAGAAAAAAAAAACCATTACATTCTATAGAAAGATTGAGGTTCATGGGTCCAAGGGAGAGGAGTAATGCAGAGCTTTTTGGATTTGTGTTCTGTCCTGTTTTGGATGCCTTGGCTTTAATCAAAATAGTCTTGAAAACAGACTTAAATTTCTCTGCAGTAGCCTATGCAGTTAGTGGGAAAGAAATGAAAACCTAGGAAATGTCATTTAAATAAACAGTATTTTATAATAACAACATTAAAATTAAGTCTTTTTTTTCCCTCTCTTTCTTCAGCAGCTATACTAGAAACATTTTACATGGTAAATTACACTTCGCATAGCATTTCTGTAACTGTGATATTAAAACTCCTCTCCCAAAAACACCTGTGCAATTCCTGTTCCTTCAGTAATCTCGCTCAGGCGTACGTGATTGATAGTAAGCACTGATACTGATGAGCATGAGGAAAATCATCAGTGCCTATAAGCTGTGATGGCTCTGCAAAGCTAAACAAAGAGTGAAAAAAATCCCCAAACAAATCCAATGTCTTAAAGCACTAAAGGCTTTTCCTTCCATAAATAAGAATCACAGCTGTGTAAGAGTGTGGTGCTTTTGAAGGACGATTTTTACATAGGTGATCTTACTACTATTGAGTTAATTCTACTTAATTCTTCCTGATTAGTAGCCCAGTGCAAACTAAAGAGTGACTGGATTTATACCAGGAAGTGCTCTGGCAACAGGTTGCTCTAACTCAAGTTTTACAGTTGAGAGCAGTGATTTTCCACTTGTGGCCTCTTCTAAAGGGCTGACAAAACTAAATAAGTTTTTGCACCATCCTGCAATCTACTTACTTCTGAAGAAGAGTGCACCTCCACTGGATATTTTTTTAGAGGTATTCAAACTGAAACGGTTGAAGAGCACTTCTCTAGACTGTCAGAGAAACTCAAGTTAATGCACCACCATAACAGATGTAAGGTATTTTAAGCATGCCCTAGACTCAAGTTAACTCGACATTTAGGATTTGGGGCTCATCACGATTGCACTTTATGGAACTTTGTCAGGCTAGGATTCAAAGGCACAATCTTTGGTACAGAAGTTAAATGTAATAAACGTGATCTTCCCAGAACTCTAATCAAGACAAAGTGACTGCTTTTGCTGAAATGTTTGAGCTCCTTCTAGGATATACTCTCTATCTCCATTAGGTTTCTAGATGTTAGAAACAGAACCACGTCACACAATATATCACCTTGAAGGCCACGTTACCTCTATAACCAATCCAAAAAGAAGGGTACTGCTGGGGAAGGGAAACTACATGGTCAGGCTTGCAAAAACTTGCTTCCAAACAAGTCCCGAGAATTTGAAAGGAAGAGATAGCTACAACTCTTCAGATTCATAAGATTTAAACATTGATTTTATTGATTTAACTATTCATTTCACAACTGCAGCTCTGCCGTGTAGGTAAAGCTTTTAGGCAGTTGCAGGGAACAGTGGAATCTTTATTCAGTGAAAACACAACTGGAAGATTTCAAGCGTTAGAGAGATATCTTGTATGCAGCTACTACTTGCTGAGAAAGTAAAAAAAAATCATACAGCTCAGCAACTTCCTAACCTGCCTCCAACTTGAGAACCTCCAACTGGGACTGCTGCACTGGTGTTGTCCTTATATGTATTTTTAGATTAATAAGAAACTGTGTCTTTGAAGATGTGAAAGAACTCTCCTGTCTTCCACAGGAACCGTAAGAGTGTCTCTAAAGACAGGAATCAAGCCCCAGACTGTACAAAAACTAAGGAATGAAAAACTTCCTCATTCTGTGAGTGCTTCCATCGCTACTATGTTAGTTTTAAGGGGCTTTCAATTCAGTCAGCTACATGAAACACATGCTGATAAGTCTTCAGTTGCAGAGAAGAAGATAAAAAGGGAAATCAAGCCACATGAGAACAAGCAGTGCAGCTGTTGCACAGATCCAGGTTTGTAGTATTACCTTGCAAAATATTTAAATATTTCATTGCTCTAAACACATAGAAAAGCCTTGTGAAAAGAAATTATTAAAAAAATATATATACAAAAAAAAAAAACTTACTGTATTTTACTTCAATGGAGATTTAGCTTTAAATAATCTCAGTATGGCTACTTCTAAATTGTATTAAAAATAGCCTAAGATTCCTCAGCTAAGCTTCCCTATTTAGGGAAAAAAACAAAATTCCTTCCGTAACTGTTTACATTTTATCAAAAGCTCATTGGTTAGTTTGTGCTAGAAGGTTAAATTTCAACATAGCTACTGCAGACTCCTCAAGAGCAGCGTTCCCCTATTGGAACAAGGGTGCCCATCAACCTAGGCCAGCTGCTTTGCCCCCCCCGCCACCTCCCCCAGGACTCTAGTATTGTTTTAAATCAAAAATATTCCCTTAAACACTGCTGCCACGATCCCAAATACACCTTCTTCCCTAGGGGCTCAGCGTCACTACATTCGTACCAGCACTACTTTCACACCAGTAGGTTAGAAGAGGTACCAAGGGAAGGGACTGAAGATACCAAGCCAAGGGTCTGAGCTCTAAGATGCTATTCAGCACAGTACTGCAAATACTTCTCATTCAAAGCTGTTTTTTTCACAAGCTTGTATACAGACTACAATCTGTATGATCAAACTTGTTCTTAGGAAAATCACGATGCATACAGAAACTTCAGTGCACAATTTACAGGCTCCAGCGACAGTTGTAGCTCACCACTCTTCTGACGCGGCCAGCGGTCTTCAGCAACAGCAGTGGATGAATAAGGCAAGGAGACGGTGTGTCTGAACGGGCACGAGCCCGAACCCCCAGCGGCAGCCCTGCGGTGCACTTGGGCAGTGCCATTCCCCCTGCCCACATCGCACCTGCACCGTGGATAGACATGAGAGTTTCTCCAGGCCTCTCACTTGAGGACTTTTCAAGACTTCTCTGTTCACTTACTAGAAGGTGAACACTCATTTCATTGATCTAGCTTTTCTTCCTCTCTCACTCACACACACACTTCACTGGTGAGCAAGGGACAGGATATCTAAACTGGCACTTTTCTTTTGAAGACATGGTACCAGGTTAACAGAAAAGAAATTACTTAAAACAAGCAGCAAGATTCCAGGAGGGCACTGCCTTTGAAGGCGAAAAATGATGGCCTAGTAACAACTGGCAAGAAGGGTCAAGTTTAAAGCCAGGAAAATCTAAACGTTCAATTGCGAAGACAGCAGCTTCGCTTCGGGTCCTGAGCGGCTCCGAACACACCCCGCGAGGCCCCCGGCGAAGGGTGGCTTGGCTGCTGAAAGCAGCATGGCCGCTCCTGAATTTAGTCTCTACAACACTGCTTGGTACTACAACCAGCTCCCTTTCCCCACCTGTAAACTGGGCATAAACATGCTTCAGAGGGTGCCATGAGGATGATTAGTTCACATTTGAACTATGAAAGTGAAAAGCGCTGTATAATTATACTAAATATTAAAACCTGTAATTAAATAGTGTCAGTTTACAGACACTCACATATTACGCTCCCGCACCCCAACCTCTGCCTTTGATAACTTCTGTCATGACTGATCTCTGAAATAGGCTTTATGTTACGTACTTACAGACAGTTAAAGACATTAAATAAAATATTTAGCCTAAGTATATAGAGATGGCCGTACATTTTTACTCATGCTCTACTACTGAAAATTAAAACTTCCACACAATCTTAGCAATCAAAGCAGGAATACTATGCACAGTTGTTTCTAACAACATAGACCAGAACAAAAGTTTTAAAAGGGAGTTAAGGCCTTTATATTTACGGTCCTAACACTTTACATGTTAAAAAGAATCCACTCCCAAGTGCTAAGCAGCAGAGCATTTTAAAAAAATACTTTTATCATTTACATAGCAATTTTAAGAGCAACTGCTTTTAAAATTAGCAACTGCATTCAAGAAGCTGTGCTGTATATGGAGAACTTAACTTCTAAAAGAAAACTAAACAGAAGCAAAGCACGAGTCATTGACTTTTCTTTCAAATCTGTATCAACAGTGGAGAGAACGTGGCCTAAAAACAGCCTGAGCTGCAAACTACTCAGGAGCAGATCGACAGTGTAATTTGGACAATAGAATGCAGCGTCTTTAAGACAAACTGCTTCCTTGATCCTTATTTCTGAAGCATCACAACAGTCGTTCTCATCTTCAAATGAAATCGCATCAACTTACTTACTCATTCCAATACTGCATTTTCAAACTTCATTTTATGAAAATCTTATGAGTTAAGTATACAAATGAACTGTAGATCAGTTAAATTTTATTAAATGTCATCTCATGTCAGCATTAAGGAGAAGACAGGGAAAAAGACTACAAACAAAAAGCATAACTTACTAGTACTATGCACAGATTGAATGGTCACAGCTAGAGAGCAAGGCTGCTGCATGCTGACTCACAACAGAATGATAATTGATTTTATAAACTTAGTGTCTTCATAATTTTTCTAAACAATAATTATATAAAAACAAAGATCATAAAATTAATGATTCAAAAACATTATTATGCCTTTGATTCCCCAAATGATTCAAAGTTATACGTAAGTCACTTCACCTTGCACTTGATTTCAGAACTCTGGGGTGGAAGAGAGCACCTGTGAAGCATCATTAAAGCAAAACAGCAACTGCCGTGAAGCAGCCAGTGCTAATACCAGAAAACGTACACACAGTACAGTCTACAGTAAGTTGGCAAGGAAGGTTAACAAACCCTCAAGATGTTTTTAAACTTTCAAACACTTCTTCTGTCCCTTTCATCTGCACATACAGCAAAATGCATAAACTCGTCTCCTGAAAGTATCTAACCTCTCCTGCTAAAATCCTGGTCTCACTAACATCATTAGCATTAAATTTCAAAGTCCACTCGTGCGGCAGAGAGAAGAACTTCCTCATCAGTATAAAGCAGCATGCAGTATTTTCATTGGGTCCCCTTATTTTGTTACATGTCTCAGAACAACATATCCTAATTTATTTCCTAAAATACATGGAAAACTGGTTGCCGATTCCCACACGCTTCCCTTGCAACTCATTTCTTAAACCTGCTGGTTTAAGCAGGGCCATATGAAAGACTATTTTTTTTTTTAAATGTAATTTATATGCTTTAATAGTAATCAGCTCCCTTCTTCACTTTCAAAGAATTCCAGATGATTACCAATACACAGTTTTCTGTTGCTCAGCCCTACTCTACAATTTCCCACTAAAAAGCCCTGTCATTTCAATTAAATACACTAGGTCTAGATTAATACACATTCATCTGTATGTCTGGATTACCCCTAGAAACTTCCAGCATAGGAACAGCACTAAATAGTCTGAAATCTTCAGGCAATATGGTCCTTTTTTATCCTTTTTAAAGCAAATCTGAGTATCTTTGGTCGGTTTTTCCTTGTCACACGCCTCCGTGAGAGCTCTAGTTATGTGCGTTGCAGATGAATGTTTGCAGAGGAGAAACCTCGATCTGCCTGGGCAAATACAGATGCAGCTACCCAGGCACCTCTGCTTCGAAGCACACAGGAAGACAAACGGACCTAAACCCCTTTCTTACACTCCCTCCCTGTTACATTTAAGCTCACTTGCATCTGGTTTCTTATCAAAAAGTGACATAGATTTTGTATTTAATTAGAGAATAGGAGAAATTCTGGAGAATTCCATATGGTTTCTCTAACAGAAGAGATTACAACAGCAGCATGAAGCACTCAGAAAAAAACCAATACAACTCAAAATAAAAAACCGAATTGGTTTCTTAGGCTGTACTTCTACCAGCAAAAGGTAGGCCCCTTTTCGCTCTGCATATAATGAAGAATCGCGACGACCTGCCACGCCGCGTGCTCTGCTCCCAGCCTTAAAGCTGAGCCCGCCTGCCCTGCTCCGAGGGTACGGCAGCGGGCAGGGGGCTCAGCCAGGCAGCGGGATCCCAGCCCGCGCTCCCGAGCCAGCGTCGCTGATGGCAAGCGCTGCCTGAAGCTGGCAGCGGGGGAGCACAGGCTATCAGCATCGACAGCCACAGCGGTCTTCAGTACAGGTGACTACGACCCCACAGCTCTCCAGCTTTGAGACCATCAGGAGCGCATACGATTGTAGCTACTACAGCGTTACAGCGGATGCAACAAATCTTCTCAAACATAGGAAGTGCTTTTGTGTACTAAAGACTCTCAAAAAGCCACTTGTAAGGCAATCACTACTAAGTGCAAATCAGCGTGACAAAGACCGAAGAGGGTTACCAATATATCACTCAGCTTTTCTGAAGAAGTTAGTGAACACACCACATATTCCTGTGCTTCTAGCAGCATCCCCTTATTTTTTCCTGGAGTGAGTCTCAGTCAGGAAATAAGAACGGATATTGCATCACTTGTATCCACCGAGGAACTCAAAGGGATTTGTCATCTCAAAACCTGTGTGTGTCATCAGTGTAAGTCACTTCACTAGTTCCCCCAGTAACCTCTTTTACAGTGACGTGGTCAAAAACAGTCATCAAATGCTGCATAAGACAAAAATTTGAGCAAATGAGCAAGTACCCAATTTACCTTTTGTGAAAGGAAAGTACTGCACAGTTATTCCATCTCCCTAGCCAGTTCATAAGCAAGTCAACAAAAATGCTGTGGTCAAAGCTCTCGAAAGCCATAGATCATTCTTAAATAACAATAACAAGTATTCAAGAGAGCTCATTTCTTTTGCTTATTACTGGAATTAGAAGAAAAATGGAACGAGTACAGCCACCACAAGTGAAAAAATAGAACTTATATTTAACAAAGAAGAAATCAAAAAACCTCTAGGTAACAGTGAAGATAATTTTCTCATCTAGCTACAGATTCAGGACTTCCATTTGATTAAAGCTGTTTTTGCTACTTCAGTGCTAGTTCTCCTCTTACTTTTCTAAGAAAGTTTTTATAAGTAAACTTTTCCTCTTACTTACCTGTGCCTTCAAGTAGTGTTCAATACAATTTCTCTTCAATCAATGGTTTAGCGAGCTTAAACTGTTCAAAGGAAGAGAGGTCTACAAGACAGTTTTGTATAGTTTTTGTTCTGTAAACAGAACATATGCAGCACAAGAGATATGGTGATCTTGTGTTTATCAGCATATGCTTGGATCTCTTTTGAATTTTTTTTTTTTATTTAAGAAATTAGACTAGAGAGCAAAATACCTAATTACAGTATGAATCCCAGAAGAATGCTTACTTGCCATGCAATCAGAGGTGCTTACTTTTTCCTTAAAAGAATCCTGTATATTTTTAGCACAGCAAGCATGCTTAAAAAAAAATAAGACTATAGTTTTAGGAGGGTTCGCGAGGAAGAACAGAAAGCTATAGATCTCTTTCTGTAACTGAGCTTTTCTTTGGTAATAGCAGTTTATTTTTATGCTGCCTAGATTTTCTAGTTCAGTTTCTGGTATTTTATTAAGAAACACCTACAGTCAATGAAGACGCAGAGTAATCTCATTTACCAGGAAAGCATCAAGGAGCATAAGACAAAAGTTTAAGTTTTGTGCATATTTTTAAACCATCCCACTCAAACTTATTGTAAAAGTTCGTAATTGCACATCAACTTAACTTTTGGTTTCCTACTCTTTTACTATTTGGGCTGTGATATAAACATTAAATATCTCTCTAATAAATACCTTAAATACTAATGAGTATACTAAGTAAATATTTCCTTATTTTGACAATAAGGAAATAACTGACACAGAGATCAGCATGCCTCTGATTAGTGTAAGTAGACTTAATGTTGATCAGGTTTAAGCACTCTCTACAGCAGGCTTTCTTCTTTCTCTTCTTGCTTCACATTAGCTATAATATAGCTAACATAGTCATACACAGACATCAGTCTTTCTTCTCCCACCTTTGCTTCCCCTTCCCTCCCCCTTTTCTAATCACTTTCAACTGTACGTCTTCTCTGCGCCACTGACATTCACTCCATAACTGTTCTTCCTCTCAATTCCTTGTGTTCAGGCTACTACTATTCTCACTACGCATTCCTTCAGCCTTCACATCTGAGGCATCTTCCCCTATCGCTTCACGTCCTGCATCTGCTTTATCTTCCCTTTCTTTCCACTCCCAGACAGCTCTGCCACCCACCTTCGCATTTCTTTCTGCGACCATTAAAGAGAGAGCCTTACCTCTGGCCACCTCCCCAGAGCAAGTAGAAGAACACTACTCCTGAAACTCTTCTTCCCAGACTCATCCTGAACCCAAATTCCATCATGCAATAATTCTTTTTATTCCTTCTATAGGCTTCCTATCCAGTCACATTAGAATAAAGTTTCCTGTCACGACTACAAAAATTTGCAACATCACTCTTTCTGCTTTGTATATCCCCCTCCTATTATCCTCAAGGACTACTCCCAGCACCACCTGCCTATAGGTCACTGGACCATACGAAGAGATGTTAGTTTGCAGATGAGCCCTGCTAATGGAAAGACTTGCTTCTATTTTTCTACCCATACAGCATCATGTGCATTTTTATTTCTCTAATATTAGGCAGCTTGATTGTGCTTGTGTTGCAAATTCTGGGGAATGGTGGCCATACCTCTTAAAATCTAACATATAATAACTGTTGCTGTAAACAAACGAACAAACAAAAGGTTGCATTTAGACTACTTATGCTTTCCCTCTAAACTGCACTTGGAGTTATAGCACTGGTCACATTCGAGGACATTTCTACCAGCTGACCTTACAGGAACACAGGACTGTAAGAAGCTAGCTGGGTCAACTCAAACTGTCAATTACCCACTTCTAGTCCAGCAGGCAGCCACCTCAGAAGCCTCATATCACAGTCAGCACCCTTTAACAGACACAAAAAGTTCAGTACGAGAAACTGAAAGCCATTAAAACTCTGCGCTGCAGAAAGAGAGCAGAAAGATCAAGACCTTGGCTGACGCTGCAAAAGGCTGCTGCAAAAGTAATAGGAAAATAATATTGAAATACAGGATTTACATTTCTCCTGACTTCACATACAAACAAAATCCCAAAGGATAATAAATGCATACTTAATGAATGAAAAAACAGTAACACCCACTTGCTTTTATACTTTGCCATTAAACAAAATTACACAATCAAAACGTCAAAAGATTAGCTTTAAAAGAACAAAACAACAAAAAGATGCAGTCGGTAAGCTGACTGCAAGATAGCGTCTTTGAGCAATGTGCCTATACAAAGAAGAACATTCAGCTTTCCTAGCAGGAAAATACAATTGCGAAGTAGGTCCAACCACATATTAACAGAACGGCAGGCATCAATCTCATTGCTTATGAATTCTTTTCCCTTTCACAAAAAGTTTACTTTTCTAAATATCTTAAAGTAAACCTTCAACAACAGAATCCTCTTTTGCGGATTCACACAATCACACAGTAATTCAGGTTGGAAGGGACCTCAGAAGGTCACACTCCTTGTGAATGCCACAAAAAAAGCTCAAAAACCAAAGAATGAGGAAAAGTGAAGAACAGGTATCAAACTTACCATGGACTTGATTGATTTCTGAATTCTGAGAAAGAATTTCATCTGCTAATTTTTGAGCAGTTGGCAAAACTTCTGTGTGGTGCACTGTGATCAAATA